CTCCATTCTCCTTTTGGGATCTTCGGCACACATGCACACGCTCCGGACGCAAACCGCGGTCAACTACGTGGGAGTCCAGCGACATAGCCATTACGCTAACTGCTGGTTCCCTGGGGTTCGTGTCCCGGACTGTGCTTAGAACTCACGCCGGGCACGTGTGCGTGCGTGCCCAGGATCCCGAGAGGAGAATGGAGAAGGGATTGCGGCGTGACCATCTCCCCTGGGGGGTCATTGCTCACTTTCTGTCTCTATGTCTGTCTGTCGAGCGCACGCGCCCTATAGCGAAAAACCTCTCAACAAACAAAGGGGGACCAGTAGGTGGTGTGGTGGTTATGGCGCTGGCCACTCCCACATAGTCGACCATGGTTCAAGTCCCAGATGTGGAGGCTTGCTTTCTCACTTTCTGTCCTTCTGTTGTCAAATTAAAATAAATGAATGAATAAATAAAATTAAAAATTATTTAAAAAAAAATGGGCACTTGGGGCCGAGAGGTGGCGTGGTGGTTAAGGGCGCTGGACTCTGACATGGCCGACCATAATTTGAGTCCCAGACATGGTGGCTTTCTGTTTTTCCCTCTCTCTCAGTCTTTCTGTTTCTTTCAGGTCACGTTAAAATAAATGGTTAAAAAAAATTAAAAACAAAGGTGGGGGGGGGGACCAGCAGTTGGCCTAATGGTTATGTCGCTGGACTCCCAGGTAGGCGATCATGGGTAAAGACTCGGACTCGGTGGGTTTAATGGCTTAAACTCACACTGGGTGCACGTGTGTGCGCCCAAAATCCTGAGTAGAGAATGGAGGAGAGGGGATTGCAGTGTGGTTATATCCCCTGGGGGGGTGATTTCTCACTTTCTGTCTGACGAGTACACGTGTCCTATAGAAAAAACCTCTCAAAAAAAAAAAAAATAAAGGCATTCAGATTTTGAGGTAGAAGCCTCCAAGTTCCCATCCTAGTTTTGTTTTTTGGGAGGTGTGACTTTAGGTGAAAGACTTAGCATCTTAAGTTTCATCTTACAAGGACACGTCTCATAACCTTGCTGGGTGGAATAAGTAAGATTTTTCAGTTCGGCCATCCTGGGAACAGCAGTTGCTTTTCTCCCGCCAGGTTTCTCATCGATTTCGAGAACTCATGCAGCTCTTCCACACAGCCTGTGAGGCCAGCTCTGAGGACGAGGAGGACGCCACCAGTACCAGCAACACAGACCAGCTGTCTGACCGTGGGGACCTTCTGTCTGAGGAGGAGCTGGATGAGTGAGACTGGAGTGGGAGAGTCACCCACACGGAATCAGACCCAACAGGCATCCTGACGTTGGGGGTGCACTTGCTTGTTGAACCCTGGAGCTCAGCGTTGAGCTGGAGAGCAGGCGCTCCGGACGAGGACACGGAGGCTGGAGGCTGGAGAGGGCCGGGCTCTGCCACCTTACGCATCACTCCAGGTCTTTTGTGAAGCCCTTCCCAATCTACTGTGTACACGGCAGAGAGGGAACGGGCTCAGTTCCTTTCCACTTTTGTCTGGTGGTATCTATTTATTGTGCTGTGAGTGAATCACAGTGTTTCCAGGTGTAAACAGTGCATATGTTGGTGTAGTGGGTCCCAAGACACCAAGCTTTCTGCCTGAAGACACTGGGCTCCTGCATCCAGCAGTTTTATCGCAAACTAGCTCTTCCCCCACCCTTGGAGCGTTAGTCCACGAGGCTGTCGCTGTCCTGGTAGCACCGGGCCAGGCTGTGCAGCTCCTGCAGCAGTTCCTCCACGTCATCCTGCTCCACTCCAGCAGCCAGGAAGCTGGCCCAGTGCCGCAGGTCGAGTCTGGTGAGCTCTCTGGCTAAGCCTCCCAGGGTGCGGTGCAAGGATGCAGAGGAGCACAAGGCCCCAAACACGGGGACACTGTCCCCTGCTGTGGGGAGAGAGGAGTGAGACTGCGATGGACTGTTGTGCTACCCTGGGACTCTGCTGTACTGACTGACGGGCAAGTCTGGGCCCAGGGTAGACATGACTGTAAAGTAACCAGTGAATTTGTGTACTGTCCTCACGGTATAGCAGTACTCCCAAGGAAGAACACTTCCGGGGGCGGGGGGTGGGGGGGATGTGGTGAATAAAGGAATGTTCAACTGTGCACTTAAGTGCTTAATTGTTTCCAGGGGGGTGTGTCTGCACGCAGGAGAGAGACAGAAGTAAGGAAACGCCTCTCCAAGGGGGAGTCCCTTCTCCATTTCTTCTTCCTGTTGGGATTTGTGTACACACATGTGCTCAGGTCTAGGGTTTGAACAGTGCATTCAGTCATGTGGGATCCAGCTTCCTTAACCACCACCCCATGAGCTGGCCTAGTAAGTACTTTTTTTTTTTTTTTTTAGAGGTTTTTGCTATAGGGCGTGTGCACTCGCCAGACAGAGAGAGACAGACAGAGAGATAGAAAGCGAGAAATCACCGCCCAGGGGTGATGGCCACGCTGCAATCCCTTTTCCTCCATTCTCCTCTCAGGATCTTGGGCACGCACGCACATGTGCCCGGCATGAGTTTAAGCCACCGGGTCCGGGACCCAAACCGTGGTCAACTACGTGGGAGTCCAGTGCCATAGCCATTACGCTAACTGCTGGTCCCAGCGTAGTAAGTACTTTGAATTCAGGAAAAGAGAGAAACCTGTCTCATCCTTGAGATCTGTTTTCTTCCCCTCCTACATACCTGCTCCCACAGGGGGATCTTCAAGAAACACACCCTGCTGGCTCAAATTGGGGAAGAGGTGAGGGTAGGGAGGAGCCACCCGGCAGGGCGTCAGCAGCAGGTGGGAAGAGCTGTGGGGTAGAAGAGGCAGGTGTGTGAGAGGAAGTTAGGGGAGAGGTCTGGGAGAAGGGAAGTTGTGTTCCACACACCTCGTGGCCCTAGGCTGTTGCTGTTGTAGATACTGGGCCAGGACTTCTTCCCCTGTTGTACATGCATGGAGAGGGCTGGGTAGAGGTATCCCCGGGGTGAGCCCACTGTCAGATCAAAACCAGAGCCGCATTTAATCTATGGCAGCATGACTAAGAAACTAAGAATTCTTATGTCCTCC